GCAATGTATTAATTCTCATAATGTCATATAATAATAAAATTAACATAATGCCATAATAATAAGTTGAGTTATTTATAATTGTTCTCAAACTTATGATCTAAATACTCACCCACGCTATAAAGGCACCCAGCCTTTAAAAAGGTAATCACCTTCCCCTTATTGTTATATATGTATCCCCATATCCCCCTTCATGTTATTAAAATAACTGGATCAGATATTTCTTGGTACATTATTGATTTAAAAGTATGATTACAATTAAACGCGTACTTACGGAAGTTAATTCGTTATAAATAATTAATTTTGAATTTAATTTTAGAAAAATAGTCTTGATACTTGAGTATCTATTTCACAACGGTATTGCGCTCACATTATGTTTACATTCGGTATAGTTGCATACATCTACAGCGCTCTATTAAGATAAAATTATTGTAAGCGTTTGCGCAGAATTCGACCTACATTATGCTTGCATAATGCGAGTTTTGATACTATAATTGAATTCGCTTCCGCGTTTGAAAGGAAGTTTCGATTTTTTGACAATTAATCGCCAGTAATTGGTACTGATAGGTTCTTGATGTAATCATTGTGATGTAATTAAGATCAGTCAAGCGTTTAATTTTTAATTGGATGATGCTATTAATGAAGTACTCACTAAAAAAATTAATAACTGCAGATTTGTAAGCTTTTTTGTTATTCAGTAGGAAGCCTATTATGGGTATAGAGAGGTTAAACCAAAAGGGACAAGCCTATAGTCGTATTTTTAATAAGACGAAGTTTACGGTGTTGTCAGTTTTTAATGAAATAAAAATAGTGTTGTGACAAAGTAAAAACCCCTGAATTAATGATCGGGGATGGCACTAGTCGCCGCGCTGCGCTTTGTAATAAGCCGTCAAAAAACTGATTGTAGTTACATAGTACTAGTACCTAACTTATATCAGAGCACTTTTATACAATTTAAAATATAAATAATATTATTTTATAGTTTGAAATGATTAACTATTCACACTCATTGTTCATTCATCTGATTGAACAAGAACTGAACGTCATTATTACTTTAAATATGGCAACATTAGTTTACAAAGTGACATTAGCTACTGTCAGTTGGCTTCGTCTAATTAAAAATACGACTATAGTGATTAAGCATACAATTGTGTATTCTTATGTCGTTCGTATGAGTTTTTTACTCTATGTACGCTATTAAAACTAGGTTGACGATGAAGGAAAACATCGTTAGGAAACCGAAGTGATATAAAATCTACTAGATATTAAAATCCTAGAGGTACTAAAATCGACCATTTGTATCAAGCACATTCCTTCCTTTCTCGTAAAACATTAGGACTAAAACCCTAAAAAGGTTTTACTCTTATATTCGTATTAAAACAAAAAAAAGCAAAACAAATAAAGCTACATTGAATATATGATATTAATATTGTTTTGTATCTTTCGTTCAGATTTTTCGTTTACACGCCTTGAAGAGAGCGTTGTTAAGTCTATTGTATGTTTATAGATATTTTCGGTATTAATAATCCAATTGATTACTACTTCTAACTCGAAAGTTACCGATGGTATAAAAAATAGACACTGAACAATTGTTACAAAAATAACTTGTTACAAATTTTACTGAGCTTTTTTATGTTATCGTGCGATTGCCATTTTATTTTTATTGTTTGAGATTGCGTGTGTTTTCTTTTGCCGTATTTTTGCATCGACATCGCGTGAGGTACTAAACGTTTGCATATAATTATCTTGAGACTTTGTAAAAATATCGTTAACTTTAGCTACTTGTCGAACGATTTTATTATGAACGTTTTTGACAGCTGTGATTTTGTTTAGGTTTTATTAGTGTTTGAATTGGCTGTGATCTAAGTTAGACGTGAAAAGTTTCGGCATAGGATTTGATGCAATTGTTTTTACACTGGTAATTTTTTTACTGTGGTGGCCAAAGAAAATTAAAACGCAATTTAAATTGTGTTTGAGCAACTCAGTGCCTCGGATTAGGACGTGACGCTGTTGAGCTACTTTCACGACACTCCAATGAACATCTCAACTGAGTATGTTGTGAAAAAGGTGCACTTTATTATTTACATGTGTATGCTAGTATATTGTTTTACTGTAATTAAAATAATTCACGGCTCTTAAGTATTTGATTTTTCATCTTGTAATCAAACTTGTTTTGTGTCTGTTCTCTAGCTACCGTTTTTAAAACATTCTTAATATAATTAAAAAATATAAGAATTTCATCCAATTTGTTTCTCTTTTTCCAAGGTTTTAAAACCAGGCTTAGTCTTAGTACGTACCTCAAACTGTATATCTTTATATTCAAGTAATGTCTACAACCGCTAATTGATAACGTCTTGTTTTACAGGTAATTGGCGGATGTCTCGTAAGTAACTCTCGTAAATTTGAGTCAAACCAACCTGCGGACTAGCTAATTAGAGGTGACAGAAGTTCTTAGATTTACAGCATCCGAAGATCTATGGTTGTGTGAGAGAAGGGTGTAGGTACTTTAGGAAGTAAGTTCTCTAGACCTAATTGACTACAAAAAGTGGCATTCTTTCGATATTAATTGTAGCCAAAACTATAAACTGCATAAGGAGTGTCTGCAAGCCTGTATGGAATTATTAGATTTGTTGTGCATATCACAAAGAAATGTCGTCTTAATAAGTTGACATCCTAGACGACAATTTTTGAAATGATACCACTAAATTATTATTTGTTCGCCCGCCGTTTCGAGACAAACGCATTATATGTAATTCATCGCTCTATTTACCAAGTAGGCTAACATAACAATGGCCAATTAAACTGCGTATGTGCCTGTTACATTAAACAGGTGATACGCTTGAAACAGGATAAATTAACATCTCATTAACTGAAAATGTTAGATCAGACCTTGGAGCATAAAATAAATAAATCACTGGCGCTACCTTTTTAGGTGATCAGCTTCCTGTGCCAGACACACTTTGTCGTTTTGGGTCTAAGGCAAGTCGTTTTCCTTCACCGTTCGAGCAAATGTTAAATGCGTACATAGAAAGAAAGTCCATTGGTGCACAGCCGGGGATCGAACCTACGAACTCGGAGATGAGAGTCGAAGCCACTAGGCCAACACTTCCCAATATGCAACAAGACCTTGGGGAATATTTCTTTGATGTTGTTCACCTTCTATCAGCACATAGGTACTGTGTAACTTCTACTATTAGCAGTGACAGCGATTTGTATGTTGTTCACAAAACATTCCATAAATTGCGATGTTGTCTCAATATTAGAGACAGTGGCGTTTGTACAACCTTAGACAAAAATGTAACAATAGAGTCTGGAGCGCAGCTGCTTTGCAGAATGGAAGGAACTTTGTACCACCAACATAATTAAATTAAATTCTCGTGAGGATTGATATGCTTAGTAGGTCACACAGGTTAATAATTATATGATTTTAGACTTCCTATGATACTAATTGTTATTGTAATTTATATTCTATAAGTTTATTTATTTATTAACACATCGTTGCATTAACATAATAAAAATTGAACATAACCAAATGAAAAGGAGGGCAATTGACCACTGTGAAAAAAAAATGTATTAATTTGATAAGGTAAGCAAGAAGTGCAAAAATACATAATACATATAGTTATTAAGACAAAACTGAACAGGAACAAAAAAATCTAAACTAAAAAAAGGATACATGAAAACTAAAAAGTGCACATGGATCACGATTTAGTTTACCTCTTAAATAACATCTAGTCTTACTTAATAATGAAAAGTTTATATATTCTTAAATTGATAGCATTCAATTAAAACGAATTAACTGTTTTATGGTGACCGTTACGCGCTATCGCCTCGATAATTCGAGACTGTTTCCGGTAATCGTTATTTTTTAAATTATCTCTTAAAAGTGCTACCTTTATGTCAAAGAATATTAAAATGTAGTGCATTTTTCAATTACTTTAGAGATGGGATCAATTACTTTTGGGTATGGACCGTGCGTGTGTATATATTATGATTTTGAAGTCTGATAATTTTTATCATAGTAACAGAAATATTAATCAAACCATAACAAAAATGTTTTTCCCGTGCTCCATAAAGGTATTATTTTTTCCTATAATGCTTAATTTCGGTTTCGAACAAAAAATATGTTGATAGTCTCTTTTTTCTATCTATTTAATTTAATATATATGTCCGTAGAACCTGACGCCATTCAAAATTTCGTATAAAAATAAATTTAAACTAAATTAAATTAAACAAATTACTTAAACCTAATTTTATTGTTATACAAACCCGAATTAAACGTAATAAAAAAATTATACAGTGACTTTTATGGTGCACGGGACAACTGATTTAGTTCAGACTGATATTTACACGCAAACTTTTTTAAACCATTCATAAATGGGTGCTTGAGATTTTATGTTACAAAATTTATTTTATATATTTATTACAGTATAATATGTTAATTTTCATTACCTTAAGGCTTAATATGACCTTGCTCACGGAGGCTAGTTCGCGAACGAACCTCAGCCAGCAACGGATGCTTGGGAATCCGTTATATATCCGTTTATATATATTATTAATGATGATATTAGTAAATCAAATAGAGCCTACACATCCGCCAGTTACGCCAGTTTCGAGATGTCTTAAATATTGTTTTATATCGTATTTATCGAACTGTTTGTAATGAGTTTTCTATTTGTGAGTAAAGCACTGTAGCATATCACCGGTCTACCACATACCTAGCTTTAATTAAGGACGGCGAGCTTGCAAGTTGGCACTTTTATCCGTGGCTTTAAGCGTAAGATTATAGCGATTAAGAATTCAACGTTAGATTAAAATAAGGGCGGTAAATAATTTATTACTTTATTTATAATGGGTCCGCGAGACGATCAAGTGCACTTGGACAAGTCTACGTTCTTGACGATTTCACTTGACGAGGGACTTGATGCGACTTGAAGGTGCCGTCAAGTCCACATGCCGCAGTCGTTCACCGCCCTGTGCTCAGGAAAGTGGCCATCGTAATAATGGTTTCCAACGCAGACAAGGCATTCCTTGCTATAACTCTAGCGGTATCTATCACAGAAAAAGAGAAAAGAAAGAGGCGATGGTGTAAGGAATGGTATAAAATGAGATATCGATTCACGCATGAACATTTGCAAAGAACTCTTCAAGCAACTGAGCCCGACGATTATAAAAATTTTCTACGAATGGACAACGATTATTTTGAAACATTGTTGGAGTTGATTCGACCCAATATTGAAAAGCAAGATACCAATATGCGACAAGCTATTCCTGCCAGCCAAAGGCTCTCTATAACTCTAAGGTACTTGGTCACTGGTATGGACTTGGAAGATTTAAAGTTTATGTGTGCTGTCGCTCCTCGTACTTTGGATTTAATAATACAGGAGACGTGTGAGGCTATAATTCAAAAGTTAAAAAGAATATATCCGGGTATGTTGTATCATATTCATTTATTTTCATTTATCTTAACCAAAATAATCATAACAAAAAAAACAGAGTCATCAGGTTTTTTGAAATAATGTGATGCTATATCTATCAGGTCCTGCTGTGATGTGTTTTTGCTTTTCTTTGATTGTGACATCTCTTTTTGATAATTGGATGACAAGGAAAACTGTAAAAAAATAACCTATGTTTGTACTATTCACAGGTACCGAGAACGATCGAGGACTGGAAAAAAGTAGCCAAAGATTTCGAGAGACGATGGAACTTTCCCAACTGTATAGGTGCTGTTGATGGCAAGCACATCGAAATAGAAAAACCTTCAAATTCGGGATCTTACTATTTTAACTATAAAAAGACATTTAGTATTGTTCTCATGGCTATTGTAAACGCCAATTATCAATTTATGATGGTTGATGTTGGTGCAAATGGGCGGATGTCAGATGGTGGAACTTTAAAAAATACAAAGTTTTGGCAATTGTTTTCTGAAAGTGAAAACAAACTTAATATTCCGGAGCCATGTGAGTTACTAGAAAGCGATAAAAAGTTTCCGTTTGTACTGGTAGGTGACGAAGCTTTCCAACTGACTCCAAACTTCATGAAGCCATACAACAAAGCCGTCTTGACAGACGAAAGACGGATTTTCAACTATAGATTGTCAAGAGCCAGGAGGGTGGTTGAAAATGCTTTTGGCATCCTGTCTTGGCGCTTCAAAATATTTATAAAAGACATTGGACTGCATCCCGATAAAACGCGAAAAGTTGTTTTGGCTGCCTGTCACTTACACAACTATCTGTGTGAAAAAAATAAAAACAAATATATTCAACCAGGAGATATTGACATTGAAGAACCAAATACCACAGTCACAAAAGGTGCGTGGAGACAAGGACGGCAATTGTTAACTTGGCTCACTTGGCTCTGGGACACAAACATTTATTTTGGTATTTCAGTTTAAACATAATCAGAAGCATACTTTTTTGATATTACTTCTAGTTAGATGCCGTTTTGAAAATATTTCAGGCTGTCTGTTGTGGAGTTGTTTTAGCGGATGGTTTCAAAATTATTGAATACTTATTTTCCAAATGAGTTTGTTGTATTAGTTCTATACTTTATTAAATCTCGCCAGCTTCATCACTTACACCATACCGCATTTTTTATTTGTTTCTACCGGTCGCAGTAACGGTGATCCGGTACTAATGGCGCTTCGCATTGGGCATTATTAGCACTGACCTATAACTGCTAGCTATAATTAATTGCTATTTTGTTCCTTCCGCTTCTTTATTATCTAATTATGACGATAAATCCCATTACAGATAGCTGGTCATGAACGGATATCAATATAGCTCTATCATGAGTTTATCAATGGATGAAAATTATATGTCTGCTTCAAATGTTTATAACAGAGAATTTCTATTTTCCGTGGTTAGGGAGCGTTCAAGTATTACGTAACAAATTTTGAGGGGGGAGGGGGTCCATGAATTCCAAAAATTGCGTCACGTAATACTTGCTAATTCAAATATTTCGCACATACCTGAATATAAATTTATTGTGAAAAGTTTTAGACATAATGAATTTATAAAAAATTTAGGTCCGTAACAATAATACTACGTCGCATGGTGGAGATAATAAGACGTGGGGTTGGACGCACCAGGGTCATCGGTATTTGGTGCATAGAAAAATGTTCCTTGTGTTAGTATGTAGCTATTAAAAAGGTAGTCTAAGCAAAAAAATCATGTTAACTCGAAACAAAGCTTACGGGGGTTGCTAGTGCTTCAATAATATTTTCCTTTTTTTCAATAAAAATAAACGGGTAGGAGGTTCGCCTGAAGTTAAGTGACCACTCACATTGCCAGAAATGTAAGTGTTCACTTAACTTCGGCTCGCAAATGCGTTGCCAGGAATTTTAGGAATTAGAACGCTCTTTTCTTGAAGGACCCTAACTCCTAAGTAAAATTGGTGCAAAAATACTTCAGTGGGCGCCTGGGTCCACACAGTGGTGGAGCGCGGCAAAAACTGCCTTAAATAAAGCTGAGATGTCCGATGATGATCCTTTAGCATCTTTTTGTAAAATATGAGTCCTAGCTTAAGTCTTATTAATTACTGAGTTAATAATGTCAGACTACTTAGTGTATAAATGACGAGACTGACAATTAAAAGAAGCCGGTTATTAAGCATGTTTATAATAATAGTAATATTAAAAATATTTGTATTTCCTGTGCCATATGGTGAAATTAAGTAGCAATTATTCACTGTATATAATATGTATCGTCGTAGTTTTGAATTGTCATATATCAGAACGTGAGAAAAAGTGAAGTTATGTCGTAAAACAGTTTAAAACGTGATTGTAATAAAAATTAATAGAAGCGCGGCGCACGCGCAGTTACGTTATATCGAGTGAGATAATTTGTAACGGACACGTAGCGTCATTTGATGTGCGTTTACAAAATATGATTATCTCTCTATTCACGGAATAGATAAACATGATTTTGAACCATTGCCTTTGAATATTATACATCTGAATTATATTTGTGCAAAATCTATGAAGTATGATTGTTTAATCACATGCCATACTACACTTGCGGCACTTCTGCGGTGCCTACATTGCTCTTTCATACTTATTAATTGTGCCATCGTTTTCTACATATATAAGAACCGAATAATTTGTCTATCTAATTTTTTTCCAAGGTAACTGCTTCCGGGTTTCTATAAACTGCAAAAATGTATTTGAATTAATTTTTTTTGACATAAATGCGATTTTTATACTATTAACATAACTCGACATTTCCAATTATGTACCACAAGTAACAAACAAAGACAAAGTATAAAACTTTTCCTTAAAAAATTTTTTAAAATTAATTTTATTGCAGTAAGTTTGCTGAAGGTTTTATATGAAAACCTTAGGTTAAGAACCACATATAATTTATATGGATGCTAGATAAATATATTCAATAGTTCTATAGTAGTATTGCCTAACGAAGTGAGTCTAAATAGGCATAAGTCGTATTGGACATTACGCGTTTCTCCATACTAGAAAGCGGAGCTGCACAGTGACTGCTAATGCAGTTTTTAGTTTGTTTTTCGTTCCGGTATCGACACCCTTCGGTCCAGTGACCTAGTTACAACATTGTTCTCACATGTATATAATGGTAAAGATAAGCTTATATATTTATATATAAAAATGGACAAAATATGTATAATAATGGTCTCCTTGAGAAGACAAAAGGAAGAGAAAAATTGCCCTTCAATGTATTCCATCTCTGGCTATATTTTCAGTGTAACTGTTTGTTATTATATATCATTTATGTTAGCTGTAGGATTACGAAATAAATAAGAGGGCGCGTCAAGTAAAAAGATGGCAGATGATCTGCTGAAGAGATGAAGCCTGGGGGATAAAACATAATGGGCAGCACGAGGGCAGGCCTATAAAACCATACCTTCAAATTAAATAATATATATTATAATAATATATTATTTAATTGTTAAGAGCAGTGTTGGCCTAGTGGCTTCAGCATGCGACTCTCATACTTGAGGTCGTAGGTTCGAACCCCGGCTGTGCACCAATGGACTTTCTTTTTATGAGCGCATTTAACATTTGCTCGAACGGTGAAGGAAAACATCGTGAGGAAACCGACATGTCTTAGGCCCAAAACGTCGACGGCGTGTGTTCAGGCACTGGAGGCTGGTCACCTAACTACCTATTACATTTAAACATGAAACAGATCCAGAAAACTGAGGCCAAGACCTAAAGAGGTTGTAGCGCCACTGATTATTATTATTGTTTAATTTTATTGACACTTAGCAATTCTATTTATAAATTCCTATAACAATGTCATCCTTGAAAAAACACAAAAATTCGTACAAATAAATAGTTTTAAACCAAACTCGCAGTCACACCTGCCTTCCACTATTCTCATTAGCATTAAACATCGTTGCGTCAAAGAAAATATGAATAAACACTATACTTTATATTAATTTGATAACGTAATTATTTATTTTAACTAGCTGACCCGGCAAACGTTGTTTTGCCATGTATACCATTTATAATAAAAAATAGGGGTTGATTGTAGAGGGGTGAAAATTAGGGGTTGTATGTATTTTTTAATGCTGTCTCATAAAAAAATTATCTAAAAAGTAAAAATAATAATAATTTAGGGGTGGACTACACTTAACATTTAGGGGGATGAAAAATAGATTTTGTCCGATTCTCAGACATACCATTGGGTATTAATATAATAAAAATAAAATAAAAAATATTATATTATTATAAATTATTATATAATTGTGCATATTGATGTACACAAAATTTTATGAGAATCGGTCAAGCCGTTTCGGAGGAGTTTAACCACAAACACCGCGACACGAGAATTTTATATATAAGAGATAATGTGATATTGTATCACTACAATTAATATAAGAATTGACTATAATGATATGACTAATAATACTTCTATGTAAAATTCCTTTTCAAACAAATTTGCACGCCATTATGTGTGGCAGAACATACAAACTTTAGGTTGTAAATAACATTTTTGTACCATATTCTTGCAAATATTATTAAAATACAGAACATGTTTATTATCATTCTCTGATATACGTTGTACTAAACTAAAGTACTGAATGAAAGTACCCTTAAGTAGGTTAATTAAACCAGCTGTGTTATATTAAAAAAGGTGTACTGTTTATAAGTAGAACTCAGCTTAACGAATATTTGACTTTCTGTACTAAACCTAAATTCACGTGAAAGTTAGGCCCCGTAAAGTAAATTTTAGTTTAATATGTTTGCTCTAAGATAATTATTTATAGCTTTACCTACTTTGGTGATGTACTTTACACAGTTTTATTCATAGACAAGTGTTATGAATAAGGGTGTTAAATTTTTGCTTAATTGGTATTTGCGATAACAGGTTTATCTAGTTATTATAATTAATACTATAATTGGACTTAGATTTATAATATTTTAGTTAAGATTTAGGTACTATTATAAACCCAGGGCAATTAACACGAAGCAATGTATCTCATTTGTAATAATGTATGCCTAATCTATTCCTTTATAAACTTAAAATAGTCTCTTTCTTAGATACGGGTTCGTTTAAAATCTTCAAAAGAATACTGAACAAACCTGGATATGTCAGACGGTATAATTAAATTAGTATAAAAAAATGCTAATATGCATTTACGCCAATTAAAAATTATCAATTCTTGGTGAAAAGTAATAACTAACACTTTATTAACGCGTGTCATTATGACAAGGCAAAAGTTTTTTGTAAAGCATTGTGCAACACGCTCGCATCCGTAGACAGGTCGTTGACCCCGCTTCCTACAACCATTGAGTTTCCCACACAGGTGGTTTCTTAGTACTTGTTAGTGGTAAAACTATGCATAATACTTGAATAATTACTGTGGTTCACCAAAGGTATTCGTTTTTTTATCTAAACGGATCATTAGGTACCTGTTTCGTTTGGTTGTTCATACAACCTTCTTCGAACTTCAGATTAACTGGAGAATATTATAAAAGTAGTAGCTTACTTACATGACAGTTGATATTCTAATTTATATTTCTACACCATATATTTAACCGGAAAAGGTTGTTTTTGTATGTTTGGTTATAACAGTTATGACTAAAAACTTCCTCTTGTATACTTATCATTTACATCATTTCTTATCTCATAAATATATCTTTATATATTATGAACCTTATTTACAAAAGTGAAAGTGTGTTCAGTAAAGTACTTAGATACGTGCAAAAAAGGGCAGAAAATGCTGCTTATGAAGATGACTTATACTTTATTTGTTTATATTTTATTTTCAGAGAAATGTCTCGGTGGAAGGGTAAAGTGAGGTAGCCGGCAGATGGCAGCTGTAAGTGCGGCGATGTTCCGGCCCGGGGGCGCTCTCGACCCCCCTTGCTACGCGTCTCAAAGGGTACGTAGTTTGACCTTATTACGCTAGATGGCG